GACTTTTACAACCATTTTTTTTGGGTTCATATTGAACTCATAAACGCTTCTATAAAAACCACTACCCAGTTTTTCACCACAAAGTGTAAGTATCAAATCTGTGTTCACATCTTGCAATTGACTTAAAGTAGAAACTTCATCTACATTGTTTAATCTATTTGTTAGTCTAATCATTTTAAAATTCTAATTTCGTTTAAAAAAAAGCACTGCACCTAACAGCTAAGGCTTCGTTCGGCACAACGTGCCTAGAATGAAGCCAATGTTGAACTTAATCTTCGGTAGTTTTTACCGATTAAACGCCTGATTTTCTACACCTATGGGGTTTTCGTTTGGTGTTTCATGAGTTTCTCGAGCAGTTTCCTGCAGATTTTTGAAGTTTTTTGTGTGTATTTGAAGTTTCTATTACCTTTTCTAGCTAATTCTTACCTTTTAGAACATACCTTCCCTTACCCGTGCTCACTCTTGAGCCGGGCCGATTAGCTTTTTCCACATTTCCGCATAAAACTCCGGAGGACCACGTTGATCAAAACTCAGTATCGTTCGTAAATTACCCGTTTTGCAAAATCTACAAGGTCTTACTCTTTGAGTTTTCCCTTTGGCTTCGGTTTGCTTTTGTCCTAGTTTTTGCTGCAATTCTGGTAGTCTGGCTCGCTTCCAGGTACTGCTCAATATGCCGTAGTGACGTATGCGAACAAAGCCTTTGGGCAAGATATGCTGGCTAAATCTTCTGGTAAATTCCTCAAGACTTAATGTCATTTCCTTTACCTGTGCACCCGTTTTGTAGTCTTTGTAAGTAAACGTCACCGACTTGTCGTCTACACTTTTGATGCGGTGATTGCTGATGGCTACCTTATGCGTGTATCTGCCCAGATATTCAACTACAGACGTTGGGCTACCAAACGGACGCTTGGCATACACCACCCATGATTTTTTATATAGCTCGTTAAGCAGTGTTTGGGGTACTTTTTCTTTGAGTCTGTGTCTGAGTTCAGACAGATATTTTGCCCTGAATACCACACTCATGGCTTTTACAGGAAACAAGAATTTACCTTTGGAGCGAGCTTTTCGCCAATGTCCATTGGCATCAACCCCACCACCCGGCACTATACAATGCAAGTGCGGATGAAGACTCAGGTTCTGACCCCACGTGTGCAAAACTGCTATCATTCCAGCCTGTGCATTAAGATGTTTTTCGTCCTTCGCAAAAACTGCCACTGTCTGCCATGTTGCCGCAAAAAGGGCATCATACACTGCTCTGGGCTCATATAATGCCAAAGAATTTAGCTCACTGGGCAAAGTGAAAACTACATGAAAATAGGGTACTGGCAATAACTCGGCTTCTCGTGCCTGTATCCATTCTTCGCGTTTTTCGCCTTGGCATTTGGGGCAGTGGCGGTTCCTACACGAGTTGTAACTGATGCTGATATTGCCACAGCTATCACAAGCATCAATATGACCACCCAAGGCTGCTGTACGGCAACGCTTTATGGCTGATAGGGTGCGTAACTGCCAAGTATTTAAACCAATATGCTCAATATTTTCGCCCAGTTTATTGAGTACATCCGCTACACTTCGACTTCGCTCAGTGCAGGCTTCTATCTTTTGGGTTGACATGCAGCAAACAGTGTGTCCAATGGACTAAAAGGCTTTACTCTCCCACTTTGGGCTACATGCAGATAAATCATTGTGGTTTCTATGCTTTCATGACCCAGCAATCCTTTCAGGGTTACGATATCAGTACCATCTTCAAGCAAATGAGTAGCATAGGTATGTCTGAGCGTGTGTACGTTTACGTGTTTGCTTATGTCTGCTTTTTTGGCTGCTTGTGCAACCGCCCACTGAACGCCTTTTTGGCTGTATCGGCTATCGAAGTCACCACCTTTTCGGTTGTCCAGTGGCTGGCCATTGAAGAGCCAATCTTCAGGTTTTTCTGCTGAGATGTATTTCTTTAGGCCTCTGATAAGATGCTCACTCAGTGGTACATATCTATCTTTTTTACCCTTTCCTTGGTAAACATGAAGCATTTTTCGGTCAAAATCCAAGTCCCTGAGCCGAACATTACGTGACTCAAAACACCGCAGACCGCAGCCATAAAGTAGCCCAATCAGTATCTTATGTTTCAGTAAATCAGGTGCTTGAAGCAGTCTCCACATTTCTTCTTTGCTCAGCACTACAGGCAACTTCTTGTCTTTCTTTATGCTAGGCAAGCCCATGTCTATC